ATTATTTGCCAATGGTAACACACTTTCTCCTCACCATACTTCATAAAGACTATCAATTGTCAAAATAACAAAGCACGCTTTAATTCTTACAGCTTCAGACCAGAATAATTCAGTTTCCCCAAAGTCTTTTTATGAATTTACATTTCAGTCGCCCTTCATTAGGAAAGCTTAAAAAGTTAAAATTGTGCTGAAATAAATATCAGCATAATGCCCAAGGTCACAATTTTCTTACCTAGCTAGAACACTTGGCAGAAAATATGCTGAATTTAAAATTGCAGAATAACTCATTAGGAAATATGCAGTAATCATGGCAAGATTTACTACAAATATGCTAGGAGTGGCTTTTAAAATTAATATTATGCTGCAATGCTTGGTTTAATTAACTTTCTTCTTCATTTACAAAGCATATCTGTCTCTTTTATGAACTTAAATTTCTTTTCCTTTCCTTGTAAACCTATTTAATTAAAGTTTTAACAACTATGTAAGGTTTAGGAACAGTAGAATGATTTTTATAACTTCAGACCTAAAATCATTATTTTCCATATCCTTGTTCTGTGTCTGTATTACACTGGGAACAAAGCCAGTAGTGCAGTCATAATGTACCAAAATTAAGACATACTTTTCTGCCAGACCACCCCGCATGTGCATCCCATCTCTGATACTTTGCCAATATTTTCATTCTGAACCTTAAAGATGGCTTCACTGACGCAGAAATTATGACTACCTCATCTAGATGCCCAAACTATCTTCTCAGATACATAAAAGCTCACCTTTTCTTTTAGCATACATTGATATCTAATCTCTGTGTTGATTGCCTTGTTCACCAATTTATTTAGTTCTAAAGTAATTTATTAGTTACTGAGCTTCGGTTTTTATTTACAGAAAATTCTATTAAAATCTCTTTCAGTTGCATGTGTAGCAGGGACTGCCTGAGAGTGCTTGCAGGAGCTTGACTGGGAAGGGGAAGAGTGGGACAGCTGCAGTTGGCTTGGGTGTGGCTGACGTGAGTGGAAGGAGGAAGGATAGAAAAGGGAAGAAAAGGAGAAGGCCGGGGTGGTTGGAGTTGAGAAGAGAAGGTCTGGAAGCTTATTTTATTTTTCTATCAAGGGTATTTTAAATAGAGGCTAGATAGAGTGAAGTTTTATTGCTTCCTCCGTGGGAGGATTCTGAGACGGAGGCAAGCGAGAGTGTGAAGTAAGGGAGTTGGCTGGGGTTTCTAGCCTCGGATTTTAATAATAAAGAGTAAGGGAGGGGGG